ACCAGAAAAAAAAAAACAATGTTAATTACCGCGTTGCTGTTACTCTCATGTGGCACTCCTGTATTACAGGTGGAAAGTACTAGAATGTTTTCCTGTAAACTTTAACTGTCCTTTACATTTCCATTAATAGGTATCTTATTTTTATAGAAGTTTGTGTGAATACTCTTGTCCATATTCAGTACACACCTGCTTCTGTTACAGCAAATTGCAATAATATCCTTTCTGCCAGCCTGTAACTTAAATGCCTGTTCAACACATTTCTACATTTACATTAAGTCCTGCTGGATCTCAGTGTTAAAAGTGACCTGCTTTTCCATCATTTTTTCATTGATCATATAATATTCAATATTTTTTCTAATGCCCCAAATATTGGAAGCATCTGATTGGAACAAAAATGTTCAATATCTGAGAACATCAAGAAACAAATTCATTACACATCATGGTTCCAAAAGTGATTTTGCAATGCAAGTGTACTCTGAGAGTTTAAAGACCAAATTATTATTTTATTTAGGGAGTTCTGAATCACGATTTTGCAGTTCTTACAGCTGCAGCTGCAAGACATTTGTAAGCTGGAATTCCAATATAGTGAGTAGGCTATAGAAATACTTAGAGTAACATCTGAAACTTCTTAAGCTGGAGTCTATAAATAGTTTCACATTGAAAAAAAATAGCAGAGGTAACAAAGAACTGAAAAATATCACTGAAGCATCAGGACCTACAGATTCTTGAAATACCTTTAGATCTGGGGTAATTTTTTAATTATTATTTAAAACAAACTAACAAAAAGACTAACTGCAATACTGTGGGCATGTTCATTACTGAAAACACAAGGAACAGACTTGGTGGAAGCACTGTTTTCTACTAAAGAATGCAGGCTAGCAGGTAAGAGAATAAGAAATGCTTAGCTTATGGACAGCATGGAAATTTTTCAAACACTCTCTATTCTTGTGTTCCTCAAAGGGTTCTTGCAGCAAAGACTTACTATGCCTTATTTCAAATACCTCAGTTTTTTTCCATCCTCTACACTTCTGTGCTAGCAATCACTTTTTCTGCTTTCCATGTTTAATAAGCAGGCCAACTTCATCCTTTTAACCCCGTAATGTTAGAATATACCCCTACTAAACATACATCTCCTAAAATGAAACTTTTCTTCATCTATGGCTTTAATAAGAAGAATTTGATGAGACTGCTGTCAAGCTTGTAGCACTCTATTGCCTGAGTGAAGAAAACCGATGCAGCTAAAAGAGCTTAGATTAATTACACCTATACCAATCCTTCCTGTCTGTGCATCCAAGTATTATTATGATGTATCACACTAAGCTTCAATTGAAATGACAATCATTTAAACAGGCAGATGATACATTTATGTGTAACACATCATAATTAAATATTTTTTAATTTGAATATTCAAACTCACCTGTTCGGAGAGAAATTGTAATAACCACTTTCCTCTAGAACCTCCTCAATTAAGGTCTGCAAGTTAAAAGAAATTCATTTCAATAAATTACCTTAATTATAAGCCATAAAATACATTAGTACATACATATAAAGCTTACCTGTAACTGCTCATATGTCATCCCTTCTGCTATTTCAGAAGTGCCAGCAATACCTTAAAGTAAGAGGCAAGTAATGTTATACTCCTGGGGTTTATGTTATTTTATCAGTTTCTTAGCAATTCTTCATCATTTAGAATGACACAGGATGTTTGTTAATTTTGGTTATCAGCGGTTTATTTCACTGACTGTAATGACTCCTTGCAAAAGCAGGAGGAATTCCATGGCATGATGTGGACATTTGAGTCGCAAGATATTTTCACATTATAAAAGAGTCTCAATTGATGAAAAATAGTGATTTCTTTTAACTGTTTAATACAAAAGAACACAGCAACATAACATTCTTTTCCACTTACAGTTTAAAGTGAGAAGGGCACATAGCCAGCAGTAAATTCTGATGAAAGTATTATTTACAGATTAGGAGATTAAAAAATTACCAACATTGAATGTCTCATCAATTTGTATAGTTGTCTCTGGGAAAAAAACCAAACTTTACATTTTAAGTTAATGTTAGGGGTTCATTTCTTATCCAAATGTCACCCTCGACACCTAGTATTATTCTTATTTTTTGCATTAAGCCTAGAAATTACCAGTTTCAAGACAAAGGCCAGCAAAACCAAGGTTTCTCACCATTCTTTCTGGAATTATAGTTTTTAACTTTACTGTGTCCTCTAGTGCATTCATAGCTATATGTTTTTCTGCATTTAGAAGAATGGAAATGGCACAAATGATGAAATGCAGCTGCACATTTCTCTTAGGTTCCTTCAATACATTCTTTGCACTGTTGAGGTATATGACAGAACATGTCTCTGAACTAGAGATTGTGGTTCCTCAACATAGTTGCTTCCAGTTAGTTTTGACTAAAAATGGAGTTCATAATTTGTCACTGAGTATTTCTAGTCCAAATTACATTTGATTCTATTTATTTTCTAAAATACATGTATACGCTTTACACTGTGTAGATATAGTAATATAGTAATATGGAATCATAGAATTGTTTGAGATAGAAGGGACCCTTAAATGTCATTTAATACAACTCCCCTGCAATGAACAGAGACACCTACAGCTACATCAGGTTGCTCAGGCTGCTCAGAGCCCCATCCAGCCTGACTTTGAATATCTCCAAGCAATGGGGCTTCCACCACCTCTCTGGGCAACCTGTTCCAGTGTCTTACCATCCTTACTGCAAAAAACTTCTTCCTTATGTCCAATCTAAATCTCCCGTCTTTAAGTTTGAAACCATTTCCCCTTGTTCTGTCACAACAGATCCTGCTAAAGAGTCTGTCTCCTTCTTTCTCAGAGACCCCCTTTAGATATTAAGAGGCCACTATTGGGTCCTCCCAAAGCCGTCTCTTCTCCAGACTGAACAGCCTCAGCTCTCAGCCTGTCCTCTCAGGGGAGGCATTCCATCCCTAAAATTTCTGAACCATATCTTTTATTAGAAAAATACATGCCACTATAGAGGTTGTGTTTCTTTACCTTTTCTATCTTCTGGAACTAATGTGTTGCCAGAAGATGAGAGAAGTACCATATGCCAATCTGCTGTAAAAAAGTTGGTATCAATCAATTCAGGAGAACCTTGGAGCAGCTGGGGGAAAGGAAAAAGAAATAAAAGATAAAACCAAAGGACACCTAAAATCTCCACTCTTCCTGAGACTTCTGTAAAACAGTCCAGCTTTCCCTACATAAATCTCTGATTGGCAGTCTGCCTTTTTCTGTTTCCTACACAACCAGAAGTCAAAAAAGATTTCAACACATTTTAGCTTAATGAAACAGTAGTGAACACAAGTACAAATGTTCTACCTTCTTCTCTCCAGAGTCCTGCAGTGAACACTGCAAGCTCCCAACCTGCACGTTGCATAAAGCACTGAGTCGCCTCCAAACTGTATTACAGTTATCCAACATAGCTGTAGTGGTGATTATGGTAAAATTCTCAAAATGTGCTTATATATAAATACTTATTTGCTCTTACTGACTCAAAATACGTGCCACTTCCTCACGCTTATCAATTCCCTATCATTCTCTTTTTGCTGTTTTCTATTTTCTTTGAGATAGAAATGCTCAGAATTACATCCAGTATTTCTAACACCTTCAATTTACTACCATTCACTTTATAAATACTTCATTTCTTCCATTTTCCTCAGTTATAAGTACAGTAGTTTTGAAGTTAAAATCTTTACAGCTGAGAGAATTTGTAAAATTGAAAATTAGATTAAATGTTATGATAAACATTTCCTTTACATATCATCTTTTGGGCACCCTTTCCTGGCAACACCCACTCAGTAACAAATTAACAGAAAACATTTTGTTAGACTCAGTGTTAAGGTTGAAACATAAGAATCAATTAATGTAAATGCAGGTTGATTTACAGAACAGCAAATATCCCTGAAACTGATAGCTCAAAGAAGCATCTTTAATTATCTTTCATAAGCACGATGTAAACCAGCGTAAATATTACATAGCCACTTCCCATGGAAGTTAAGCATTTCAGATTAACTATTTTAAAAGCAGTGAGCAGATTTAGTAATTGGGGTGAGTGTCAGTCCATCCATAGCAAACAGTGACTCAGAAGATTGCACAATCCATTGTGGATAGGTGACAACCAGACTGGGTTAGATGGGCTGTATGATGTCTCATATCTGAAAAGGATGTTAAGCAATTGTCCTTGTCATCAAATTCTCTATACACTAATTAACAACTGATTTGCCATCAATTCAAAAATGAAACAGCTTCCATCTCCCACAAAACACAGGAGCTGAGAATGTGGCTTTTGAAACCTCTCCTGACTGTGTCTTCTCCAGAGACTAAAAAGAACATTTAGAAATTCTGATGTTAGTCATTAGCTCTTTCCCAGCTTTTTCCAGTGCTACTGCAAAACATGAAGGCATGGTTCTTCAGTCACGCGATTCTTGCAAATCTGTAGCATTTTTAAACTGATGATACTACACTCATGCTGACATGCTATACCACAGTAGGACATTCTATATTTTGGACACAATGGATGATTTATGAGCTTTCTCAAAATTCATAGTTTGAGAGGGAAGTCATGCCAAAATATCAATAATAGTAGCAATCTAATTATAAATGAAGAAGAGCTTACAAAAACTAAAAGCTTACAAAATATGTTTCAGCTTTTGCCATTAAAAAGTTTACTTTTTCTTCCTTTTCCCTTTCTGAACTCTGATGAGATGAATTTTGTTTTGCAGGGCCTATCATTTACAATATGTGTTCTACTGATCAGAGATAAACTTGAAATCATTATGTAGCAACTGCTTACTTAAGAGAGCTCCATGTTTTCCCAATAAAGGATATGCTAAATTTCCTTTGAAAAAATGCAGTTATTACACTCATATTCTTGTGATATTAATATTGATAGCTTAATTCAAATAGAAGAAGAGACGACAAATAGTAATTAGTATACTGCACCTTTTTCATTTCTGATTTCAGATTACAAGGATTGCTCTGCTGACTGAAGAGGGACTTCTTGAATCTCTCAATGACTCTCCTTTTCAAGTTGCACTGCAAAGCTGGAGGAAGCTACACAACACAGAGAAACAGATGTTTTCACCACCCAATTACACTTCCCATAAACTGCTAATCAGCAGTACTATTACTGAGAAAGTAGCTACAGTGCAAGAAGAAACATTAATGCTTAATAGCCTGGTAATAGACAACAGTACAAAACCTGATTTAAATATATATTAAAATAATTCTCCTTAGATCGTTGATTCTGTTAGGCTTGGCAGATTATACAACTTAGTCCTTCTGGACTAAAAGGTAAGAGCCATTATATTAAGTGTAGTATAATTAATGCCAGATTTGCTTCCTTGATCTTTGAGATTTCAAAATCATTTTTATGCTCCAACAGTAATGCTGGAGCTTCAATAGCTTCAGCTGTTGGTCACTGCAGTCATATTGATAGTCACATCTGTCACCGATCCACTTGATCACCATTCCATACTATGCGCTAGTCTTTGGAGAAAATCTCCTGTTTCTCCATAGTTTATCTTCAGACAGTGTTTGTAAAACAATAATTTTCTGTCTTTTAGTATACACTTTATAATCACTATCACTGATGTAAATTCACATAGTGCCACTCCATCGAATTCAGCAAGTTATTTAATTACATAAGAAATCTTTGGCCCTTGATTCACATTCAAAGCGCTGTCACAGTGTAAATTACAAAGAAAGACTGTTTTGCTTCTGAAACAAACTATTGTTCTTAGATAGTTATAAATTTGGAATGTTACATTGGCCTCACAGGAGCCACTCCTAATTTCCTCTGGCAAACCACGGACTGAGTTTAAATTCTAAAACTTCATCAGACAGCTGGCTGCATACAGTTTTCTGTTGCAGATAAATATTACTGTCTTTTCAGGCCTATATATGAGGGGAAGAACATGATGCAAAAGAAATGGCTGCAAGATACTCTATAGACTACATACCACTGCAATAAACCATGTGCAGTTAATGTACCATGGCAATGCTGGGACATTCTGAGGCAACAGTGGTAAAGGACTAGTTCACTGCATGAAAAAATCAGCAGTGCTCTATGCAGTACTGTTCAATTTTAGCTTTTGTTTTAAGGAAATCAGATGCCAGATCAGTTTAAAAAAATTTAAAAGGCTGACAATTTACATTGTGCTTTTTTAAAAGCTTTCTCTTAAATTATTTTCCAACAGATCAGTCTGGCTCTTGTTCCCATGGAAACTGGACTGGGAAGGCTGCTTTGATTGCCAAGAACTAACAGCAAAGAACTCTGCCTTGTAAAGTTCAGTTTCAAATTGTCAGCTGAAATATGTAATTGGGAGTTGTAGAAACAACTATGTATTATAAAAAATATTTCACCTTATATCTGCAAGAATCTAAGCATTCAAAAAGCCATTGCACAAAGGAACAAGTAGAGATTTGGATCCTGGTACCCCTACCTTCTAACTCTGAGACCAACTGTCACTGAAAGGTGCTACCACTGCCTCAGTGGCCAATCTAGATAGAGAGCCTTTGAGTTACTCTTAGTTCTCAGTTACAAGAACTGGCATTGACGAGTACGACACTAGAGAAAATCTTCTTCATGATAGAGGGTAAGTTCATTATTATGCATCGGGCACAAACGAGTAATATAGTAATACAATAATATAGCACATAAAGTCTGAACTGCCTCATTTCAGTTAGCAGGAAATGGGCTTACTATTGCAATAACTTACACCAAATCCAGTTATTTTAAATCACCATTTTTTCTTTGTTATGATAATTTATTTCCTGTTATCTTTTTCAATAGATCTGACAGCTTGAAGAAAATACTCAGGACATGTCCAATGCATCTAATTCCAGTTATGCCATTATGTTTTAAACAAGTTCGGCTCAGCAATCTGAAATGCCCTGAGGTGATAAACATCACTTCCAAATACAAACCATTCATTTTACAAAGTAAGAAGATGTTTATTTATGAACAGCATATTTTGCAAGTAACTGAATGACAATCATCTTTCTGGCAAACAAAAGTCTTCTATCACATTTTTAACTGAGAGCTCAATGCAGATTTATACCAGCTCCATTTTTGTTTCGGAATCAGCATGAAATAACTTTAACATTCTTTCATTATTAAACATTCAAACAATTCTAAAATAAGTCTGAAACTTGAAAAAATACATACTGACATATTAAAATATTTAAAATTCAATATTTAGAATAGTAAATCTAGTGTAATATTTCTTAAGAAATTATTACCACATATTGATAATAGAAATTATTATTTAGAAAATACGACTATAAAGGAAAGAATTTTATGTACTCTTCATGTCAGTGTGCAGTGTTTTCACCTGAAATGTTCATATTGCTGACATGACAGAATGTTATAAAAATAAATCACCGTACAATCCATTTTTCTGAGGGGAACCAATGAATTTTTTTCATGACTCAATTATTGCCATCCTCCACACACTAATATTTGAGGTTAGTCTTCATTTAAATGATGTATTTTTAAAACATCCTGCCATCTGCAAAAATGTCAAGTTCTGTTGTTTTTAACGAACAGCAACTAAATTAGCAGCACTTTGACAACAGCAAATAACTGAAATGGATAGAATGTCAGAAGCAACAGTAATGCATACTTGAGTGATGAAGATAATTTTGTGCAGCTGAATAAGAATCTGCTGAACAGGGTCACTGATCTGACGCACTTTCCTTTGTGATACAGCAATTCCTGCCGATGCTGTAGATGACAACACTAAAATCAGGACAGCTCATTTTACTGCCTTTACATATTAATAGTGAGCACTGTTTAAAACCTGCAAATTTAAATATTGAGTTTTTATGCATGACCTGTTTTGCTAGTGGCATTAGGAACAACAAGAACAAAAAAGAGTAATCTGAAAACTTGTAAGTTTAGATAATGGAATTAATAATGGGTTTCAAAGGAAATCCCTACCTCTGATTCATTACACTAAAATTTACTTTATCTAAAAAAAAACTATATATATATTAACATACCTCTCTAATAATAAAAGTTTTTCTATATTTATTCATAAGGGAATCTAAAGATACTATAAACAGAATTTATTTTAACAAAATGATCTTTCTCTAAGGAATAAAACACTTTTTTTCAAAAAACAAAAAAAGTACTTTGATGTCATGAAATTAATTTCCCTTTTACCACTAAGAATTCAAAGATTATATCTTATATCTAACTTGGAGAATATTAAAATCTATTTTCAAATTGCCTTGTAGTGTTGTGTTTTGTTTTATCACAGCTACTTCTTGTTTCCAGTGCCTAGCAGTAGCTTGTTTTGACAGAAAGATGTAGAAAATTTGCAAGAAGCTATGAATTTTCTGTGTCTTCTCTGTATTGCATCAGAAAGTTAGCACTTTCTTTTCTTTGTCAGAAATTCCTCCTCATGAGAGATAACCCTACCAAAAGAAGAAATAAGAATATACTGACAGAGATTGCTGGCTTTTTTAAAAGGATACGGTAACAAGAATGAAAATTCCACTGAGAGGGAGAAATACTAAAATTAATTAGTCCATCACTGAACTACTACCATTTCTTCCTGTTGAATTTCTTTTTCCATTGACTCCTCTAAAAAGAGTCAGAAGGGAGACATTCACAGGTTGAAGTTTTTAGGGACTAATCAGATCTGAGTCGAAGCCTGCCACAAACTAAAGAAGTATGGACAATATAATTCTCCATGACAAAGAGGCACTTCTGGTATGATCAAGAAGACAGGGACATCATTTCTATTGTCAGATTTTTTGTTGCAATGCCTTTTGGCAGATAGGCTGAGAGAGGCATTACAGTTCTGCATTTTTTCTGGTCCCTTCGTAACCACCAAAAAGAGAAAGAGAGCATTTCCCTTGAGCTACTTAAAGAATTTAGCTTCATTTTTCAGCTAGGTAATGGTGAGAGCTATGTTGTAACAATCTAATACATGACATGCCACAAATAGAACAATTTTTTCTTTAGCTCTATTCATCTCATTTTCAGCAATCTGCCAACTGTTTTACCAATAATAGATTAAGTTCTCACAGCAATAGCATGGTCTTGTCATTACAGTCTTGGAATCTTCTGTTCTTGTTAGGACACCGATAAAAACTTATTTCCTCAACACATTACCTTTTTCACTGGCTCCTATCTTGTGGTATTTGACTTCTTTGTTGCTACTGGCTTGTGTTTAAAAAAAAAAAAAAAAAAAAAACAGAAAGCAAATAAATCAAATAAATCAGCCTCCTTTCTTTTACATCTCTAAGATGCTTTTTTTTTTTTTTTTTCCTAGGAAAATCTGCTTAATATGAGAATGGAAATGGCTGAGCAGAACAGAACAGAACATGTATTTCTCTGATCTTCAGTGGATAGAGCTTTGTTCCTTTTCTAGTATGCCAGCAACAATTGGACTTAGTGGCCTCAGTGGACCAATTTCTATACCTAAAACACATATAACGTCTTTGTGTTTCAAAGTCAGCTAGAGTCCTCAGTTTAGCTAAGAAATTCAGGAGTTTCCATAAAGTCATTTATTTTGGGCCACTCTACAGTAGTTGTTTTGTTGTTTTTAAATTAAGAACAGCATTATTTGGGCAATGAAAAAAAGTGCTTGTGAATAGGCTGATGACAACTTAATCAACACTTTTAAGAGCATGACAATAACAAAACTTAAAGTACATTGGAGAATTTCAATAAATAAGTATACTTATTTGAACTTTCATTTAACAAGAAAGTAGATTTTATTTAAAATATATCTAGATCCAGAAGCAAAGGCAACAGGTTAGACCTTATGTAAGTTGTGTTGTTTTACTCAAGAAGAAAACATTACTGACAAATGATATCAAAACTGCCTAAATTACCCACAGGACTAAAATCATTAGCAAAGGCTAATGTGTTTGTCTCTAGATCATTATAGCTCTGATGGATTATGGTGGGATAGTTGGTTTGAAGTGTGTGTTGTTATTATAACAGCACTCATCAGTAAACAGTACTGAAAAGTGCTAAAAGTGGAGGACAAATTTTGATTTGTACTCTGCAGTGAAAATTCCTAATGCAACTTCTACACCAAAAAGCTGTGAAATAGAAGTTAGCATGCACATGCAGTACTGTTTTCATAAAGATCAATATTCCAGCTACTCAAAATAATTTTATTTCAACTATAATTTAATTCAGAGAATATCGAGTACTACAAAGTCAGAGCTTACCAACTTACAGTATCTGAAGCTTCTCAGTATGAAAGAAAAGTATCATAATTGCAAAATTTGTTTCATCAGTGTTCATGGATAAATACAGGATAATTTACAAGGGTTCTAATAAATGTTCCTTTCATTAAAAAAAAAAATTCCAATTGCATTTAGAAGAAGCAGAGCTAGGTTAACAAACATTAAAATGAAGTCACACCAATGTAGTATTAAAATTTACTTTTTTAAATTCCATAACAATTTTTCAGACAACATATTTTCATCTGGAATGTCTCTGCTTTTCTATCCATTTAAAACCCACATATTAGATAATATCATATTTTTTCTTATTGCAAAGAACTACGAATGGAAGACTACAGGACAGCCACCTTGTCTCTGATCTTAGTGCACGCCTTGTGCATGAGTAGAGACAGTTTCATGAGGCTCTTTCAGAATGAGATGAAGTGGAAGTGAATTTGAAGAAATAAAAGAGTAGATATTATATAAGCAACAGAAAAACAAATTTTAAAAATTGGGAATTATTAAGTTTAATTTCAGTTACAATTTTATTTTATTGTAAGTGTAAAATTACCTGGTCGTAGTCTTGATCCCAGGCCTTCAATACAGTCTCTATTATTAAAATAGAACAAAAGAGGGACAAAAAAAAACACCAACAACACAAAACAAAGAACTCAGAGCAAAACTGTTGTAGTTATGCTGGGCATTAGAGGCAGTGGAGGAAATATTAATATTTGCTGGATCTTTCTCATGTTTCCTCTAAACAAAGTCTACCCCATTTCACTACTTTTTGACTCTTCATTCAGAACTCAAAGTTTACTCTACTTGTCCCAAGTAGCTTGACTTACAAAGTATACAAAGTATAGAAAATACACATATTATTTTCCTATTATATTAGACATATTTATTTTCCTATAGAATATATAATAATAAAATTTCCAAGTAGCTATGAAGAAAGATATGGCGTTGCTAATGTTTCAAAAGGGGCAGAGATGGAGAAAAAATAAAGGTGGTTGCTTCAGCACTCAACCACTACTGATTATAGCAGGACAAAAGCTGGAAAGCTAGTGAGTGATAAGTGACCAACTGGATGGTTATGCTCCTAGCAAGAACTTCTTTGAAAGCAAAAATAAAGCGATAGGTAAAGCACAGCTAGAAAAAGGGTGCACAGATGATGATGATAGGGTTGAAGGTAAAGGTATAGAAATGTGCCTTGTAAACGCATTCTTGAAGGGCAATTGAGTGACTAGAATGTATGCAGTGCAACAGTGATATTGATTGCATGACAGTCCTATGAACTCAAGCATCAATTTAAGCAGACTACTCAGTTGCAAAGATTATATCTTAGAGATGTAAAGGCAGAACAGCTAGATACATATATTAATATATATTCTTATATATATTATTCTTATATATTCTTATGTAAATATATTCTTGAAGGCAAGAAGTCTGAGAGACATGCAAGTTAAAGCAGAGGCTCAGATCTCAAGGTATTATTGGTCAGGATAGGTAGAACTAGAAGCACGGACTAATTTCCTTGTAGTTATACAGAACTCAACTGTAAGCTTCACGGTCAAAAAAAAGATCTTACAGAGATGAGCTTACAGAGATGAGCTATGATATAAAGCTAATTTCATTATCTGTAGCATGATTTTGCAGGTATGAATAAGAATATGCAAAGAAAAGATGCAGAATTAAGAAGACAGCAGATTAGGTGATGAAGCCATATGCAATCCTTGGAAAAGTCCTTAAAAATAGCTTAAAAAAATAGGAGAATAGAATCAGAAAAAACACTGTTTTAAGAAGATTAATTTTAGATTAAGTGCCAGTGGTAAATAGCAGATAAAGAAAACAGACACTGATTTGGAAGAGGTTATTAAGTAGCTTAGTAAGAAATGTTTAGTAATATTTTTTAAGTACAACTGGGCCTACAGAAATGGAAAAGGGATCAATGCAGTTATCATAAGGAAGTTAAAAGTTAAAAAGAAAACAATCAGGAGGTTTTTCTGCATGTGAAAGAAAAACAGTAATTAAGCTATAAGGAACAGAATCTATGGATTAGGATAAAGACACCAGAAAAAATAACGATTGGTAAAGAATGCATCTGAGGCATTTCTGAACTAATTACATCAGGAAAAGAAAGATCTTTGCAGGAAGAATGGGAGTGGCCATACAATATTTTGTTTTGTTTCATTTATGTTCTGGAAGCAATGAGCAGCACTACAGAATTCCAAAAAATTAAGTTTGTATAGAAGGTCTACATGAAATCAAAGGGATGTGATATTATTTGACAATATCAAACATGTAAACACAATTTTGCATGGAAAAAACAGCTGTGAAAAGATTCAAAACCAGAATTTTCTAATCAACTTATATCATTTTAATGATGATGTAGCAATGTCCACTTATAAAACTTCATCAGTTTAATGCCAGTCCTTAAATTATTCACATAAAGATTCTGTGCGCAAACATCTTCAGGGTCTTAAAGCACTCTAAATATCGTAGGCTGATACAAAATGAAGTTGTAACAATGAATAAGGAATTGTTTAATGGAGGTAATTGTGCAGCTTTTCTGTTGTGAATTTACTGACTGTAACTGATCGTAACAATGACAATTTATATAATCTATATTAAAATTATAAATAGTACATACCTAATCTGAGGTTGTCTTTCAGAAGTACCAAGGTTTTGTTTTATGATACCTGAAACGAATGCATAAATATTGTCTCTGCATTCAAAAATAATTATATATATCTAAGATAATTCTTTCTATTTCTCAGATATGCTTTGAAAATAGCTTTTAAAAATCAGAGGTAGACAAACTAAATTCACATTTGCTGTTTGACGTGTCAAAAATGAGCTTGTGCTTTACTTCCAACCCTGCAGAATTCACAGATTT